TCCGGCACGACACTTTTTTTTCGAGTTTTGGACTGTCGTTTGGTTAGAACCTTTCTTAAGGTGGTAACCTGTGAAAAACAACAGATAGTCGGAAAGAGAAATCCGTTTTCGCGAACCGGTGACCCTGGACGACGACTCGGTCCTTTGTCCTGTGTACAGCGTTAAGTTTTCTTGCTGAATTGCTTGGAGAGACTTCATACTACAGACTGTTAAAAAAGGTATTGAGCAACCCTAGCGGTAGGACTTTTTTTTCCCCAGTTAGCCAGCTTTGTGAATTATGTCAAGTGCGTCTGCTGCTACTGTTGTTGTTCGTTAGGAGAGTACACGTTGCAGACGCCGACAAATCACACATGCAAGTATGCACTTTCTGGAAGATCGCTGCATTTGTCTAATTTGGCAACAAAACTGCCCCTTCCCCCCCCTGGCGCTCCACGGAAGGAATATACCCTGGCAAGGATTACTTGCATGGCTCCCTAAACAGGACGCGAGGGGGCAGTCACTGTGCGCACTATGGCTTTGCGCCAAATTCCAGGGAAATTAGGGTTAGGATTACGTTTTTAGTTAGCCTTCAGATTGGGACTTAAGGCTAGGGCCAACTTTCAGTTTGCGGCTGTGTTGGTGTTAACTGTAAGGTTGGGGTTTTTGGGTAGAAGTAAGGTTAAGATTAGGGCCAAGGTTAGGATACGATAATTTTCTGTCTCGGATAAGGCAGAAGACTTTTCGAGCACCGGATCAATTGGTTTATTGTCCTGAGCTTTCGAACTCTTACAGGAGCCCATCTTCAGAGGTAAGAAGCAGTAACCAAAAGGAGGGTAATTATAGTGGGCATAGGCCAATCAACCTCCAGATATCATCAGGTTTTCACGGGGTAAGAAATAGCAGCCAAAATGATGGAGGGGAGGGGGAGAATTATAGTGCTATACGCTAATTAACTGTCAAGGAAGTCGGGGGTCTTTCGGGGTCACTAACAGCAATTAGTGTAGCGCCTTGTCCCCACAGTAGAGGATCCTAACAATCCTGCCTCCTCTTCCGATCGGTTCTTCGTGGGGTTCTCTTTGCTTGCAATTCTTACGTTCGGTTTGGTCTTGTTCTGTCCTTTGCTCACATAATGGCGTAAGGCTTTGTAGGCCG